CTTGGCCCAGAGAATCTCATCTTTGAGACGACTCATAGGTCACATCCACAGCTTTCAATGCACAAGACATCTGGGAGGCCAATCTGAGTTTGACAGGTGGAAGCTTAAGTCCAATCCAGGCTGCAATCAGCTGGAAGAGTCTCAGAATGGCATTTTCACCTATGGATACCCATCGGTTTACTTGTTTTTCGTAATTTTCACTTCCTGGGATGCAAATGGGGGAACTTTGCAAAGTTCACTGCGATTTTTTTGGATTTTGGAAGTTCCAAGGTGTATTTGAGGGCCTTGATCCAGCTGAAATCATTGCAAGCAAGCAGTATTTCCACCTGCAGAGCCGTGGTCACACATTCTGCCAATGAAACACAATGCTGGCAAAGACTGGTTGGTGGTATGCCTACCCCTCTCAAAAATGATAGAGTTCGTCAGTTGGGACGATTATTCCAAATATAGTCAACAAGTCAAATGATGTCAAATGATGTCAAATGATGTCAAATGATGTCAAATTCAACAAGTCTTGTTCTCACTGATGCTCCTAGTTATCCTAGTTGCAATGATTTTTTATCAGCTGTCAGAGATGACAGGACAAACCCATGGAAAACCTGCCACCAGATCTGGTCCATCCCCCCAACGATAATGGAGCGACTTTCCAAGGGGCAGAGCAAGAGACCCAGCGGCTCAAAGGGCCACCGACCTAAAGATGGTTTCGTTTCAAGATGGGCCCCAAAGATGGCGATGTTAGTGGAGATGATTGGAGATGATTTGGATAAATCATGAGAAACTGTCGGAGAAACTGTCGGATAAAATTGATGAATTTTTGAGGTTGCGGGATGCCCAAGTATTTGAGACATACTGTGACATACTCGTGTATCATAATTCATCTTGGGGATTCTGGGTTTTTTTGTTCAGCTTGTTTTCGGATTTTGGGAGGTACTTCAACCAGCCTCAGGGGCTGCATGTGATGTAGCAATGACTAGTAATCACATTTAATATCATTTAATTGGCATGTGTTGGCATCTAGAAACGCAACATCCTTTCCCACTATGTCTCATCTCAAACTTATCTTCAGCCTCGCAAAGAACCATCAGAACCATCCAAACAAACAAAGAGGTGAAGATATCCAGCAATTCCAGCAGTTCCAGCAGTGACCCATGAACTCAAACAGCAGTTTGAAGAACGCACCAATCAACACCAAATGACTTCAAGGTGCACATATATGTCATATGATGTCATATGATGTCATATGTCATGTATCCTGCCATCCTGCCTCTCATTGATGCCCACTTGCAGACTGCTTCGCGTGCATGAAACGCTGCTTCCCAGGCAAAACTGACCGCAGAGGATGGCTGGCGAGTTGATATACAGAAAATCATCAACTTGTCATCCTAATCATCACCTTATTTTTGCGACATGAATTCCAGGCGACAGTCTGATATCACTCAACAAATCATGCGAATATGTCTTAACCCTTGACGCTCGCTCATGATGACCCAGCATCATCAGCATCGCATACTCAATTTACATCAATTTACTCAATCTGCTTCGCTCACCCCACAAAAACTTCAGCATGCAACTCGGTGGCCCTGCGCCTCTCAGCTTCTACAAGGTCAGTCAGCCAGGACTTCAAGAGGCTTCGAGCTGTAAACGTCGCATGATCATGCCAGAGATCAAGAGAACGTCTGCCAGGGTGCCTGAAAATTCACCTAAGCACAGCCATTTTTCTGCATAGCATAGCACTGCAGTCTCTGCGGTTTCGGCCCTTAGCCCTTGAGGTCTGAACAAGAATCATTGACCAACGCTGACTGGCGATTCTTCGACATGGCCATGGCTCAATGGAAAAACTGGGCGGGCTTTGGATGGCGTAATGGGAGGTGTAATGTCTTCAAATTTGCTGTTGATCCTTGCGTTGGAGCCGCTGAGCCGTTGTTACAGTTGTTTTTCCCGAATGCGTAGCAAGGGTTCCCGTTTCACTCTGGGGGTCTGGGGGTTGAGGGTGTGTTCGCTCGACGTTGCGTTCACGGTCGCAACCGTCCGCAACCGTCCGCAACCGTCCGCAACCGTTCGTGTGAGGACCGTATGGCCGTGCCTATGGGAAGTTCTGCAGGAGGGATCATTTTTGGAGGTTTCAGACGTCTGGTTGCTTCGTTTCGCGTGGCAGGCGTGGCACTTCGTGACATTCAGCAACGTTCTGTAACGTGTCGAAAGTCGTTTTGTGTGGCAGGCGCAATACTTTTGCGACGTTTTGCGAAGATGCGTGGCAGATTTCGTGGCAGGCGCAGCACTTTCGACGTGTCCATCGTCATTTTTCGTGGCAGGCGCAGCACTTTAGACGTGTCGTGTTGCGTGTTTTTTGTAAATCGCATTGGCAGGGCTGTGTCAAGCGGCGACAAGGTGCAAATTCCGTGGCAGTCGTGGCATTTTGTGCGATGTGCTCAAAATTGACGGAAGCCTCGCACGAAACATCGATTTTGATGTTGCAAATTTTCATGTTCTAAGGAAAACTCGTAGGAAAACGTCGATTTTGAAGCTACAAAGTGTGAAAATTGGAGGAAATCTCACACGAAATGCTCATTTTGGTGCTTCCACCTGTCTCGTCTCGCGTCATTGGTTTTATGGTGGTTTCGCCGTGTCTATGGGGGAAGCTGCAAAACATGTCTCTTCGGCATGCTTCAAAGTGTGAAAATTGGAGGACGTCTCGCACGAAATGCTCGTTGTGGTGCTCCCACATGTCTCGTCTCGGGTCTCTGGTTTCCCTGTGGTTTCGGCGTGTCTATGGGGGAAGCCGCAAAACCTCTCCTTTTCGAATGTTTCCACGCAGGTTGTCATGTCGTTTTGCGTGGCAGGCGTGGCACTTTGTGACATTCCAACCTGTTTGATAACGTGTCGAGAATGCCAAAATTGGAGGACGTCTCGCACGAAATGCTCGTTTTTCTGCACCCACGTGTCTCGTCTCGAGTCTCTGGTTTTCCTGTGGTTTCGCCGTGTCTATGGGGGAAGCCGCAAAACCTCTCCTTTTCGAATGTTTCCACGCAAGTTGTCATGTCGTTTTGCGTGGCAGGCGTGGCACTTTGTGACATTCCAACCTGTTTGATAACGTGTCGAAAATGTCAAAATTGGATGAAGTCTCGCATGAAATGCTCGTTTTTCTGCACCCACGTGTCTCGTCTCGAGTCTCTGGTTTTCCTGTGACGTCGCCGTGTCTATGGGGGAAGCGCCGCACTCCACACTCTACACTTTACACTCCGCACTCCACAATTTACACTCTACACTCCACACTCTACACATTACACTCCACACTTTACACTTTGCACTTTACACTCCTCACTCCTCACTCGAGACTTTACACTCCACACTCCACACTTTACACTCCACACTCCTCACTCTACACTTTACACTCTACACTTTACACTCTCCACTCTACACTCCACACTTGACATTTACACTCCAGACTTTACACTTTACACTCCTCACTCCACACTTTACACTCCACACTCCTCACTTTACACTCCACACTCCTCACTTTACACTCCACACTCCACACTTCTCACTTTACACTCCGCACTCCACACTCTACACTTTCCACTCCACACTCCACACTCCACACTTTACACTCCACACTCCACAATTTACACTTTAGACTCCTGACTCCACACTGAACACTCTACACTATACACTCCACACTCCACACTTTACACTCCTCACTCCACACTCTACACTTTACACTCTACACTCCACACTTTACAGTTTACACTCCACACTTTACACTTTACACTCCTCACTCCTCACTTTACACTCCACACTCCACACTCTACACTTTACACTCCACACTCCACACTTTACACTGCACACTCCACACTTTACACTTTACACTCCGCACTCCTCACTTTACACTCCACACTCCACACTCTACACTTTACACCCCACACTCCACACTCTACACTTTACACTCCACACTCCACACTCCTCACTTTACACTCCACACTCCACACTCTACACTTTACACTCCGCACTCCACACTTCACACTTTACACTCCGCACTCCTCACTTTACACTTCGCACTCCTCACTTTACACTCCACACTCCACACTCCACGCTCTACACTTTCCACCCCACACTCCACACTCTACACTTTACACTCCACATTCCACGCTCCTCACTTTACACTCCACACTCCACACTCTACACTTTATACTCCGCACTCCACACTCCACACTTTACACTCCGTCCACACTCCACACTCTACACTTTCCACCCCACACTCCACACACTACACTTTACACTCCACACTCCACACTTTACACTCCACACTGCACACTCTACACTTTACACTTTACACTCCACACTCTACACTCTACACTCTACACTTTACACTCTACACTCCACACCCCACACTCTACAATTTACAAACTCCACACTCCTCACTCCACACTTTACACTCCACACTCCACACTCCTCACTTTACACTCCACACTCCACACTGTACACTTTCCACTTTCCACTCCACACTCCACACTCTACACTCCACACTCCACACTTTCCACTTTACACTCTTCACTCCACACTCCACACTATACACTCCGCACTCCTCACTTTACACTCCACACTCCACACTCTACACTTTCCATCCCACACTCTACACTTTACACTCCACACTCGACACTTTACACTCCACACTCTACACTTTACACTCCACACGCTACACTCCTCACTCCACACTGCAGACTGGTAACAGGGGAAATATGTACAAGACTGTTCAAATAAGCTATTGCAGAAAAGTGTTTTGCGTGATTGCATATCCATGTGTTTTGACAGCTGTGCCATTAACATACGTGTGAGCATTCGGGTTCGTGGGCTGCATCTTGTTTTTTTTGGCCAAGCTACACCTGAAACCATGGCCACGGTTGAAAGGTTCAGTGGCACTGCGGCACTTGCATCACAACAATTGGTGGCCCTGCGCACCTCAAATTGACCTTAAAAAAAGTGGTGCGGCAGACCATCCTTTTCCATCCTTTTCTGAGACTCATCACCCAGTCAACCCAGCCATTGCCGAAGCCTGCTGCCAACGGTGCCAACGGTGCCAACGGTGCCAACGGTGCCAACGGTGCCAACGGTGCCAACGGTGCCAACGGTGCCAACGGTGCCAACGGTGCCAACGGTGCCAACGTCCAAAGGGAAAAGAATTGTAATGGTGCTAGTTGAGAGCCCCTCGCTTCAATGGCAACATCTGTCCATGCCAGTTATATCAAGTTCGTTCGTGGGACTGTGACAAGTTATGACAAGCGTTTGTAAATTTTCCGGATTTTGCCTGTACAATTTTTAAGGGACAAGTTCGTGGGATAGATTGATGCCGTAGAAATTTACCAAATGACTGGTGGCTGGCCCGGTCGTCCTGAAGGCATCTGCGACCTCTGCAGGGCGCAACCTTTGAACGGCACGGCGCAGATCATGGGGAACTGGCACCTGGCATGGCATTCCGCAACTGGGAAAGCCGGCTGTTCCAAAGTCACAAACACCGGCTGGGTACTGTGTATTCCAGTTGGGTATGGGTATGTACGAGGTCTGTGATGTGTATACATTACATTACATTACATTACGTTACGTTACAGTACATTACATTACATTACGTTACATTACATTACATTACGTTACATTACATTACGTTACGTTACATTACATTACATGACACGGCATGACATGACATTACATACACACAAACACAGATATATACATATACATAATTATATAAATATATTAATATGTGTGTGTAATTGATATGTAATTGTGAAATAGATCCAAATGGTCAAACTAGCTGAACAGCTTTGATGATTTGGACATATTTGGACATTATCATATTATTGCGATCTCTTGAATCCATATTGCAACATCATTGCAGCTGCCATGATGATTGGAATCTTTTTTTAGCGCCTGCACAGCCACAGGCCCCCTGGTCATCTGCAGGCTCAGTTTCCAAGCCTCACACAACAAATTCATACAAATTCATACAAATTCTGTATGCCCAAATTGACTGCGCATCAAACTGTCGCAGGCTTATCAGATTAAAAGTGTTTCAATGCACCAAATTCTCCGTGCGGAGTGGTCAGCTCTGTTTGGAGTGGTCATGAGTGGTCAAACGCTTTGGAAATCTCTCAAATACCCACAAAATTTCGGGGTACATCACCGATAGCCCAAAAAAAAAATGAAGAGTTGAGAGCAGGACATGCAGCCAATGCCTGGTGAAATCCCAAAGTGGTATGGCACCCATTTTTTCAATGGCATTTGTTCAACGATCATAGCCGGCCTCTGACACCATGAAGGCGTGATGCCACCATACACTGGATCTCCAACCAGGGGATGTCCCTGACCAACGACCAACGACCAACGCCGCGAACGCGGCGAACATCAGGATCTCGGGTCCCCCGGCTTCATGCGCCAAGTGACATCGGATTTGGTGGGTGCGTCCTGGAAGTTACCAGCGACATGGCTTAGCTAACTTAGCTAACTGACAATATGGGATAATAATAATGGTAATAATGGGATAATAGTGGTTATTCATGAGGATTTCAATGGTCCAAATCATCCAAAAGCATCCAAAAACATCCAAAAACATCCACATCCCAGTCCTGTGTGTAGCCGCACCTTGGCTATGAACAGAGTGATGCATGGTGCTGTGTTCAGCTGGATTGGATGGCCTGCATCAAGCTGAAGAGCTGTCCATCCGGATCCGCCAGGGTTGCAGAATCCACCACCTGGTTGCGACATTGGCCCGGCCTGGTAAACAGTCCCAAAAAACGATGGGAAAATTGGGAAAGATCCACCATTTTTCATAGTAAATCAACTATTTCGACTGGGGCCATTTGTTGGGAATACCCGGCCTGGTAAACAGTCCCAAAAAACTAGTATGAATTGGAAACGGGATCGTCAAATGCCCAACTTTTACCACGGCAGCGCGGGATGACTCAAGGGCCCTAAAGCCAAATGTCAACGGGGGCATGTGATCACTTGGCTATACAAAATATACATTAGACAGGTCAAACTCACACTCAACCTGTTCTTCAAGGATCACATGATGCTAGTGAAAAAGTTGGCTCTAAGGCTTCTTCTGTACACGGTAAATGCACTACTTCAAGACGCGGATAATGAGGTCCGGGCGCATGCTCTTGGTCAGAGCATCCGAGACCATAGTTCCTGTAGCAATCCAGGTAACAATGTCTCCTCCGCCATGATGCATATCCCAGGTCCTCCGGCCGTCTTGCCAAAGTGACTCATGAATCGACTGCAACTCAATGCCGAGTCGTTTGTCTGCGACCCTGCCGAGTACCTCATTCGCAAGATGGTCTGTTAAAGACCTGCAGTCTGAAAGCATCAGTTGTGGAATACAGCTGCGGCTGTCATCCAACCATGTTTTCATCGAGTCAAGTTGGCCCATCAGCTCGGCCAATGCTCCACGTAGCTTGTCACCGCTCTCTTGTCCAGCCTGCAGTGAATAAGCTTCGCATTGAAGAGTGCTGCGGCATACTCGCCGAATTGTATTTGATGCAAATCCCAATGGCATCACCCTGTAGGATGTAGTCTTGGGGTCTTTGATCTCATTGATGTCTCCAAGAAAATGGAAACGTCCTTGTTGTGATTTGTAGTTCTTCTCGTTTGAAAATGAAGCATCTGTTACTGTAATGATACCAACCTCTCCCCAGGTTAGATGTCCACCTGGAAAAATGAGCTTGTTCTCAATGCCTTGTTGTGCCAGCTGTACTACGGCATTTGCGTCGTGCAAAATAGCAACTGTCGCTCCAGAAATACTGGACTGTAGGCGGCTCACACGATAACCCAAATCGGGTCTAGTCTGTCTTGCCACCCATGCCAATGATCCCGTTACAGACCGTAATCGGGTCACATCATCCTTACCCAACGGCTCGGACGCTGATCTTCCTGGCGCGATCTTGATCGGCTTGATGCGACGGGTGTTGTCGCAAGTGTCTTGTGTGATTGTTCCATCTGCAGTACGCTCAAATTGCTTGCCACAATAGCGAAACGAATTTGATTCACTTGATCCCAAGTTGAACTTCTCCAAGAAGCTGTCGATCACTGACTTTCCCTCAGGAATGTATGCGTACAAGATGTCATCCACATGTGTCGCCATAAGTGCAACGCAATCTTTGTCGGTTCCTGGAAGGAAATACAATCCTGGGTAAAACTTGGATTGTTTCAAGCCACTGGATCGGGCATCTCCGTCCAACCTCAACCAAAAACCTCGACCGCTGTCAGTCAATCCATATATAGGCACCCGCACAAGGAAAAACACCTCTGGATCAACTCCCGGGAGACCTCCTCGGGGTTGTCTCATAATGAGAACTCTATCAAGAGGACGACCTTGGAAATATGCGGATGCGACGTCCGCACTGTGCAATTGTGCGCCCTGGATCGCCGCCCAACAGCAAAGAATGTTGTGAGCTTCCGTATCTGCTGTAGGACTGTCTGATCTCAAACCTTCACTGACTTCGAAATTGCCGCATGATACCAACCGGCTCTTGAACTTTGGCATATATTCTTGATCTGTTCTTCCTTTCATAAATTGATTCTTATCAACATCAACCCACTTGCTGGGAATACATTGATGTCCTTCAGCAATCAACCTCTCAGCATCTTCTTTTGAAATTTCAACAACAGCAGCGAACTCCAGGAACTTGCTCCACTCCTTGGTTCTGGCATCCATGATGTTCTTCTGTACATCAGGTGACGCTGATTCATAGTGGATTGATTTCAACACTTTCTTACCTTGCTCTTCGTCCTCAGGGACTTCAACTTCCTGGGACAAAAATGATGCAAACAATGCTCGTGCTTCTTGTTGTTCTTCAGGACTTCGTTCTGAGTCTCTCTCACGAGCTCTTTCAAGATGTGTTCGCAATTGATGTGGTAAGTCATCCAAAAGTTCCCTTCGCAATGGCCAAGATGATGCTGACGGCGAGGATAGTGGTCCCAAAACGGAGCCACTTGGAGTAAGATCAGGCACAAAGGAGTCTCTTCGAGATGGCACAAGTGATGAGCCTCTCTCCGACTCAGGTTGTAACTGAGACTCTACTCGAGGTCTCACGTTGCGTTCATGACCTCCATCTCCTGGATGTGGTCTTTCAACTCTTCTCTCTGGGGTTCTACTCTGTGAGAAGATGTCTTCTTCCATTGGACCTGTATCTTCCTCCTCCTCATCTTCTTCAAAGAAACCGGGCCGTATATCCCATTCATCTTCGGATACTTCTGGTATAGGAGGGAGTGCTGAATCCACATTGCCTTCATGGACAACCTCAACATCATCTGCTTGTCCTGGACCATCACGAACAACTTCAACCTCATCTGATTGTCTTGCATCAAGAAACGCTTGTTGACCTGTATCATTGATGATCTTGTATGGAATCACAGGTTCACCATTCAACACTCATTGAGCAAGAGCTTCAGAAGGAGAAGCAATGCGTATGTTGTGAGAAGCTACAAGTACTGGAACGTTACCACACAGTAACCATATGTTCTTCTGGTTCTCGTGTCCGATCACACGACATGTTGGTGACCAGGACGTTCCTCCTCTCTGATTGTCTCGTCTGAAAGTGACAAGATCACCAATGTTGAACTCACGATCAAACACACTGGCATTGCGTGTCAACGCTCTCTGAACTCTTCTTGAACAATCAAGGTGAACAAAAGCCTTTTGTGCCTCAATCCTGGCCAAATGTTGTAATGCAAAAATTGATGAAGGATCATGTCGGGCCTGAATGGCTCCGAGCTGTGCATGGTCTTCCTCAGACATGAGTGAAGCTACACCACGTGGAGCTCGACCGAGCACCCACTGAGATGGAGAAAATCCTCCAACACGTGCAGAGTCGTTCTTCACACTGAGCACTTGTGTGATGCACGACTCAACCTGTTCTTTGGTACAAGCCCCAACTTCTGTACACACTCGCCTGAAAAGAGCTTTCAACAAACCACCATGCCTCTCTACTCGGCCCAATGATTCCGGGCTCTCAAGGGGCACATGGTGCACTTGAATGTTGTGTTCATCCATGTACTGTTGCAAGACACCACGATTGTGCAATCCACGGTCACACATGATAGCAACAGGATGTCCTGCCCAACTGAACCAACGTTTGATGAGTGCGTCCAAACAGGATCGCGAAGAAGCTTGGCCTGCTCCAACCTTCACAATTTCAGCCTGTTGAAAACAAGTGCCAATACAAACCATGTTGAGAACTTGATACTTCTGCCCAGTTATATCTGTCAACTCCAGTGCATCAATCCCCAAAGTATGGTTGAATGTATAATCACTTGGAAGCGTAACTTTGTGAGTGGGTTTCTTTGCTGATGTTTTCTCACATGTTTCACATCTATGCAACTTCACTGCATCAACAAACTCCTTACTCACCTTTGCAGCACGCACCAAATTGACCATCACCGTCTTGGGGACATGTCCAAAAGCCCTGTGCAACCTACGCACAGCAATCCTGACACGCTGGGGAAGTTTGCGCCAAGACCTACGTCTTTCTGTTTCATCCTCTGGCAAACCAGGGATATCAACCTCATCCAAAAGAGTCTCTTCATGTGTCAGGTCCTCAACCGGATCCTGCAATGCAACATCTTCTGGGCCATCGACTGCATCCCAGTTCCCACCATGTTCCTGAGCCTCTTCGATGATCTCTGCTGGAAAGGCAACGCTCATCTGTTCCTCCAATTCACGTTCAAGTGACCAATCACGAATCCATTGACAAAACTCCCAATTCAAAACGTCATCCAATTGTCGATACATAGGCCAGTCTTGAAAACCTTGAATGAGTTCATCATCATTTGACACAAAAGCAAGACCAACTTCATTGATGTATGGAATCTGTGGTGTTTTGAATGATTCCCATCGTTCAGTGTGTGCGACATCAACAATGAGAAACCTACACCCTGTGGCATCACAATACTGCTCCAACTCAAACACAAGATCCCCATGACATAGTGGATAATGTTCTGACTTGTATTCAATTGCAACAATGACCAATGTGCAACCTTCGAACATGTCTTTCCAACCATGTTGCTCAGCATCACCGTCCAAGTACGCGGCATTCATGCCAACGTCATAGGTGTGCTCGAAAAAATCCTGGAAAAGAGTCGGATGTGACGTGATGATTGCAACCCCTGATGTCCCATTGGAAACTTGAGGCTGCATCCCAAGACTGGACTGCATTACCCGGTCATGGTTGTTGAGATTGTTGATACCTTCCAACACCATCTTCCTGTGTTTCTTGCTCATGGTCCTCCTCTCATCAGGACGGACTGTCAAATCAACGTTGGAGTCAAAACGTACAGCCATGAAACCAGTGGGAGAATACTCATAGTCATATCCATATGAATCGGAATCATCTTGTTCCAACTTGGGCGTCAAGACCTTTGGCTGGGGCTTCGACTTCACTGCATACATTCTTTTGGGTTCTGAGGATTTCATCTCAACTTTTGGATTCAAAGACTTCTCAAAATCATCCCTTATATCCCGTATTTTCTTGTTGGGGGTCAACCTGACACGAACGCTCATGTATGCTCCCCTCCCGGAGTCATCGAACACCCCAGGTGGGTGGTGAAACACAATCACATCGATCCACGAGTTGCTCAAACGCACTGTTGCTTTGCTATCAACGTTGTCTTCAATGAGTTCCCAGTTGCCTCCATTGCGAGGTCTGCACCACGTAGATCGCTTCCAGTGCTTGATGCCATTCGAAACCTTGATAATCCGGTTGGGCCGGATATGATCTCGAATCAGGACGTTCATTCGAACTCCTTCCACCAGTGGATCTTCGCCATCTTTGCAAATCCAAAAGAGCCGATCCCTGTTACCCTCACGGATGCAAAAAGATACAACTTCGCTAAGGAGCTCACCGTCCAATGTCGTCACTGACACGTTCTTGTTGTCAAACGGTCCATCTGATGCCAAATTGTTTCGGATCAGTCGCTCAAGCTCGTCGCGATCATTGGGAGGTTCTCGAGATCGTTGTGGCAACGTCGATCGGGGTCCGTCATCGGCCCCTCGGGGTCCGTCATCGGCCCCTGGTACATCTGAGATATGTGGAGGTGGGTAATCTGGACTCCTTGGGGCAGGTCTTAAAACTGGCCTTGATGGAGCTGGTCTCGAAGATGGGCTTTGATCTCTTCCCAAGCTCCTTCCCCTAGATGCTCGTGGATGTCTCCAAGGTGGCAGTTTTCGACTGAAGCTCGGGGATCTCCTGCGCCTTGGTGGTGATGGTGGAGTCGGCAAAGCGCGGCCATCTCTTCGTCGACGCAAGGGGCTCCTTGATCTTTGTCCTGTTTCAGCCATCCTTTTGATCTCAACCTGTTCTGTCCTAAGATGTCCAACATCTGTTGCAAGCCCTTGTACCAAACGTCGAATCTCATCAAGTTGATCTGATGTAGGATGTCCTGCAGTGGGGTGATCTGATGTAGGATGAGATGAATGTCCACCTGAAACATCATCGGCTGGAGCATCACGCACGTCGCGGCTTGAAGCCACATTGCCTCGTGATCGTGCCAACCTTGACATGTTCGGGATCAAATGTCGAATTTGTCCCAAGCTCGCAGCCATGTCCTTACATCCATGACAAACTCCACCACAACGCATCTCTCCCCACATCCAAGATGATGCATGAATGAGAACAACGTCATAACCAAGGACCTTGAGACACCTGTAGGCAGCAAATCCCTGTCCCACTGACCTGTGGCGACCTGATTTGCACTCCAAATCCACCAGCACCTTACTGTCGGCTTCCTGTTGTGTGACGAACTGGAGGATGTTGTTGAGATGTTGGATGAACTTGTCCACCTTGCTCATAGTCTCAAGGATTCCATGATGCCAACCCACATGCGACCTAAGGTTAACGTCCTGATCAGGATCGTTAATGTCCTCACAGTTGATGCTCAAAGTGCTCCTGCTGGTTCTGCACGCATGTTGTTGAAATCTACGTCCACGAGTCATGATGATCACCTTCCTGTCACTGCGCAGCTCTTCGTTCAACTTCGTCTGCAAGATGTCATAGTCCCTCGAATGGAAACCACACATGTCATGGTCAGCCATGGCAACTTCCGATGTGGATGCTGTGTATGCGATATTGTACTTTCTGTGACACTTCGGGATTTGGGGAAGTTCATTCGACGGTGTGTTGATGATGTTGGTCAACCCTTCAGTCAAGTTCATCACAAGTAAACCTGATTTTGAACACCTCTTGATATTCAATGGTTGATCTTTGATGGAAATCACTCCTTTTGCTAGGTCCTTCACTAGGCCTAACTTGGTTTGCGCATGCAATGACAGAAGCAATGGACTGTTGCCTGTCGACAATTGATATGAATCCAACTCCCCATGCATGTTCCCGTCTGGAAGCAGCAGCGAAAAAGGAATAGATCTCACACCTTCGGTCTTGGTACTACCACTTCCCAGACCAGCAAAACTCTTACAACCGTCATCCTTCAATGGCATACTGTAACCCAATCGGGCCAGTCGTGCTTCTGCATCGACCGCCCAGGCTTTGCTATGACAAGTGCTGTTGCAACCTTCATCCAATACTGCAAAGACACGGGGTGACTTGGCAATGTCAATAGTTTCATAGTTCATGTAAACCAAGTCTTGAGGGTATTGAGTGTCACTTCCATGCAAACAAATGCCAACGTACCCAGCTAACTCCCTGCACCGAGGGGTCGCCGTGCCCATCTTCATTGACAAGTGAAAAACTGTCCTCTTCCTCTGTCACGTCATTGATGGCTTGATGCAGTAGTTCATGAAGTCGTGCACGGGTCATCACCTCAGATTGGCAGGTTTCGGTAACAAGAGTGGCAAACAGGGGTAACAACTCTTCCAACTGGACTGGATTCAATCCATCCGATTCTTCAACCAATGATTCAACAATGGGGACTGTTCGAACTGATGCGGTTTCAACCTTCTTGGCAATGGCAACACGCTCCTTGCGAATCTGCATAGGAGCTTCATCAATGAAAGTGCAACACTTCTTGCAGAAAGTACGGTGTGTTGATTTGCTGGATCCCCTAAAATCTGTGTCGTCATGAAGGCAATTTTCAGGGGTCATCAACGGTACCATGTCACGTCTTGTTGTTTCGGAATGACCGCACACAAGACAGGTCTTCCTGATGGTGTACCCCGTAGAACCTTGTTTTGTAAACTCACGACATTCCTGACACTTGTTCGGCAAAGGAGGATTTGGGGGTTTCTTTCTGCCAGTTTCCCGAGTCACCAACAAATCTCGGTGCTCGACATGCTCAACAGGGACTTCGCGCAAGTGAATCCCATCAGCACCAACCACAAAGTACTTGTCAACCCAATTCAACCATGTGACATAGTATGGACTCTTGGGGGTATGTTTCTTGGCATGATGATAGTACCCTGTCTGTTCAAACAACACATTCCAAAAAGACAAACCCTTGAACTGTCCAACAGAAAAGATGCACCCATGATCCTCGGGTCTCATTGTAACATCGAGATCCCGGGAAATCAAGCCAACGTTGCTGCTGGATGCCGCTGCACGTGAAGGTCGACTGCTGGGCTTCGCTTGTCGAACTGCCATCATAGCAACTCCATCTCTGTCACGATCAGGTGAAGCCGTCAAAGTCACACCATCGTCATCTGAAGAATCGCTCATGTCGGCAAAGTGAGCTGCGGGCTTTGGGGCTGACTTTCCAGGGGCTCCGGCTTTCGACCCCGGGAATTTACATTCCGGGTCACCGGCCCAGTGCCCTATGACTCCGCATCTCAAACATTTGCTCTTCGACTTCAGCTCTGTGAGCTTCCGTCTTCTCTGATCGATCGTGAGGTTGGACTTCACGATCTTTCCTTTCCCCTTTCCTTTGGGCTTCCCGAAGGATTTGCCCTTGCCACCTGCTTTCCCCATTGCGGTGAAAGCAGCAAGTTGTAGCTGGATGGCGTCTCCTGCTTGTCGATCGTCTTCTGCACCTTCAACTTCAAGCAAGCTGTTCAATGCAACTGCTTCGTACTCATCGACGTCGTCAAAGTAATCAAATTCGTTGTCACCTTCTAGGTTTCCGGGCTCCTCTTCTGCAATGTCACCAAGCATGCCAACATATGAATCATCCTCCCAGGATTGATCCACAGCTTCATCCCAAGGTTCTGCATGTTCCTCCCCATCATCGGGGTAGGCTGCATAGGCTGCTTGGGAATACGATCCCTTCGAAGAAGGTTTGCCTTTGCCATAACCTTTGCCTGACGACTTGCCATGCTGTTGAGGATTACCACGTCCTGTCCAGGATCGTGACCCTTCTCGCAAGTGAGTGCCACTGTAGTTCTCGATCAGCACCTTGCCGACACCTTCAAAATCCTTAGTGTCTGCACAGGCCTTCACAACGAGGATCTCCTGTCGATTGAGCCCACTCAACTCCAACATCAACTCTGTCCTCAAGCTGTCCGAAAACACCATTGTGTCATCCAACTCGCATAGCATGTGCCACCAACGTCGTCTCCTCTGAACATAGGAAAGCATTGGTTCGCCTGGTTGGCGAGATAAAGGACCACCTTGCTTCTGTCCTGCTCGAAATAATTCCTTGGCTTCCTCACGGGCTCTTGGAAACACATGGGATTTGATCTCACCCACAAGTTTCACAAGGCCACCAGGTTTGGACAACACTTCAAGTCCAAGATCCCTAGCTATTGAGAAAGCATCTCCTCTCAGTCCTTCAATCACCTTGTTGACCAATGGTCCACGGTCAATGTCTGTCTTCTGCTTGCCGGACTTCGAGGATTTTCGGCTCGCTCCAGACTTCGGAGTCGAGACTGCTGATGTAGGCTGGGCTGCTTGAGTAGCACCCGACAAATCTGGAAAAGTAACATACTCATCTGCGTCTTCTGCGGCAGGCTCTGTTGCTGTGGTCCCAACGGGATCCGCAGGCTTACTTGTCTCCTCCTCCAATTGTTGCTCATAAAGACGAATCCGAAGGAGAGTCCTGAACTGCCAATCATGAAAGTTCGCCGCATCACCTGCATAGATGTATGATCCACTCTTCGTCTCAAGTGGTGCCGACGAATGGCGTTCCTGATTGAAACGAAGGCCATTGATCGACATGATGCTCGCTCCGTTCGGAGTCGAACAAGGAAAAACGTTAACAAGTGTCTGCCCTGGTCAGGGTCAGACAGATTCCCGAACCACGACACACTCGAAGTTCAGTTGATTCCCAAGAAGTTACCAGACTCAAATTCACAAAGGGGTTCCCTGGGTCACTGACGTACCACCGGATGCAGGTCGTCACCTGCTCCGCTACCAATATGAATTGGAAACGGGATCGTCAAATGCCCAACTTTTACCACGGCAGCGCGGGATGACTCAAGGGCCCTAAAGCCAAATGTCAACGGGGGCATGTGATCACTTGGCTATACAAAATATACATTAGACAGGTCAAACTCACACTAGGGAAAGATCCACCATGCTATCAATGGGTAAATCCACTATTTCGACTGGGTCATGTTCAATAGCTATTTTGATAACCAGAGGGTACATCTCTTTCAGAGGCAACCGAGAAAAGGATGAATCGAAGTTCCCTCAACCCCCAAAAAACCTCCGTAAAGGCATGCCGCCCAATGGGTGAGATGTAGCTTCTGGTAGCTCCAAGCCTTGGTTCCCAATGGTTCCCATATCGGTTCCATCACCCAGACAGCACATCCCAGGCATCTGACTCGCTACTGCCCTCTGCAATGCGTGCCTGGGAGGATGAAACAGGCGAGTCACCATGGATCTGGCTGTGGCTGTGCGCGCCTTGATCAACAGGGGGACGTCCTTCACCACGCCTCAAGGGACTCAAGGGACAGTGGTACCCTCTGGTAAACATACAAAAAACATCAAAAAACTATGGAAAATCACCATTTTCAATGGGAAAATCCACTATAAATGGTGATTTTCAATAGCTATGTTAAATTACCAGAGGGTATCGCCCAAAAATGTCGGGATTTCGAAACCTGCGCCTTGTGCTAAACAGAGATACTCCTTTTGGACCTGAGTGAAGAAAAAGGTGTGGAGTCGGCTCTCCTTTCGGCGACTTAGGTTGCAACCCTTCTGGCAGCAAACCTCAGCGAGTGAAGGCTCGATTGAGGAAAAACTCTCATGATTGATGGCAACAGACATGAATGTGAGCAGACACTGTAGGCTCTGACTGTAGCCGTGCTTCATAGAGACCCTGGTAGCCTGCGATCGTTGCCCACGTGGAAAACTGCTGATGCTGAAGACATGTCACATGTTAGCTGCCCCACAACAAACGATCGCTGTGCCAAAGTCCGCAAGATGAGGTGGGAACAGGGCGCCCAGAGCAAGACTCCCGAAGTGAATCCTTGGACAATGACCGCAACAGACCGGATGGGTGTCTCGTTACCTACCAAAACACAGACCTGAGCGACCTGGGACCCTCTGAGAGTCAGACGGTCAAGGCGATGAACCATTCCATAGGTCACACCTCAAGTCATATTAGTGGGCCGACCCAGTGCCACCAATCAGTGACCTGTCAAAACTCAGATTTGAACTTTCGTCATGAACAATGGCCCTGTGCCTTATCAGTGCCACTGATATGTTACTAGAAAAACCAAGTTCTCTGAGTGTCGTTGTCTTGATGTCAGTGTCTTGGGAGTCTTCCATACCACTGCTAGCCTTGTGCCGATTTTCAAGGCTTATGCCTAAGACACCTGAGGCCATGTTTCAGTCTGCTCACTCGCACGCATGAAGCTATGTTCCAAGCCCAAAGTGCTCCTGTAACCAGTTCCTCAATGCCAGAGGCTCTTCAGACCTCCACAGGAGCAAATCAGAGAAAATGTCTTAAGTGATTTTCATTGATTTTCCAGATGATTTAGGATGTGCAAAGCTTTTTTTTTGCCCATAAAAGAATAGAAGTCTCATCTGGCATCATCCTTTTTCATCCATTTTCCCCAAAAAAATGCCACAAATTGGGACCAAACTGCCACTGAACACAGTGATATCGTGGAACTTCAGTGCTTCCCAGGCCGCAGCCCCAAGCTTTCACACCTGGCTGCGGGGTTTCTGATCTCTTCAGATGCTGCGGAGCAGTTGGGCGGTTTCCACAGCGCGTAGAGCTCAGGCTGGGAGGCTTCCGAAAGGATCAAGGGCCTCGGTAGAAGCTGAAGGGGCTGAAGGGATGATGATGCTGATTGTTGGCAAAAATTATGATGCGTGTTTTTGATGGATTTCTGATAAGTTTCTGGACTTTGCTGTAGGTTTTTGAGGTGTTTGGGGGTTGATGATAGATATGATAGTTGATGTAGATGGTGCTGGTTTCTCATGGCTTTCGTTGGGTGAAGCTGGTCGATGACAGGAGTGGAGCTCGAAGCATCATTCGACACTGGAACTCAGCATGGAACTCAGAGATCACATCCGTCTCCAACCTTGCGTCCACAGCAATGAAACTTTGACCTTAAGTGAACCCATCTCAAAAAAAACAACTCAAAAACCCATCAAAAACGAACCAAACGCCAGTTCAAAATCAAAAAGTACCAACAAATCCACGAAAAAACGATCCAAAATCCATCACAATCATCGCATGGTGCCAGATTGCGCCATGAAACCAGCATTTTTCACTTCCCAACCCGAGCCCACCTTGCAACGCTGATGCAAAGTTCAGCAGGTGGAGGCATCAGCTGTTCCGAGCCATCCATGGAGTGACCATGGTGTACCAGGGATTTCAAGGCGGACTCCAGGTAGGAATCCTTTGATCCAATAGATCTCTGGGGGACTTCCCGAGAAAAATGAGGATGAAACTGATGGAACCAGAAACTTTACGGACATCTGGTGTGGTTTTTATTCATTTATATGCATTTATGTAGGTGATAATGATGATATGATCTGGAACCAAGCATTTCATATATTAATACTAAATTAATACTATTAATTATGGGGATATGATGGGGATAGAGCAACTGATATACCCAAGTCGCTGGCTGATGATGGTTTTTCTGGGCTGGGTTCTGCAAATGTAAATGCTCTCAGTATTGCTGGAAGAATGAAAGAAGCGAACTGAGCGAACTAGGGAGTTGTGTTGGTGACCTGCCACAATAACGCAGCAAATACTGCCATAATACTCACAGATGTTGTTCTGCAACTGTTCAGGTGGAACAGTTGCAGGTTGCCGTTGTCGCCCTCTCCTCCAGTTTGCCAGCCAGTTGAAATGCCTCCACCAGGGCCAAACAGTTCACCTGGCACTTGGAACTTCAAAGACATCACTGAAAACGGTCAACACGGCGGGGATGCAACGCCGCTCTCGCTCTCAATGCACCTGGGAAAACGGAAGATGGGTGAAAATGAACGGGTCCAGGCAATAGTCCCCACCCAAAAGCAGGTGCAGCTTGGGAATGTTCTCAATCCCATCTTCCGAGTGATCTGAGTGATCTGAGTGCTGCCAGGTGCCCCAGTTTTTCTGCCAGACTCAGCATCCGGCCCATCCTGAAGCCTCTCCTTGGAGAGCTGGGCCATCGCAGCCACCTCAACATCCGCAGGATGGACTGGGTCCCAGGGTGGGCTCCAGGTGATCATTTCGTTCGGTTCCTGGCAATGGGGTCCTCTTCGAAGGTCACCTGGTTGAACCCAAAAATCTTCCGCAGCGGTCACAAAGTTGGGTGGGACGGATCCTGAGAGGCCGACAGTCACAAATGACCAGGCGACATTGGCCAGGTCCGTCGGCCAATTGGGGCCTTGGCAAAAAAACCCACAGAAACAGCAGAAGTGGATCCAGTGGATCCACGTCAGATTGCTTCATGGCACTTCCATATGGTGGGCTTAGGCTTTTTGACCTGGCCTGGTTATGTCATACAAAAAGCTATTGAAAATGGCCCAGTCGAAATAGTGGATGTTCCCAGCTAGATAGCATGGTGGATCTTTCCATCGTTTTCTGGGACTGTTTACCAGGCCGGGTATTCCCAACAAATGGCCCCAGTCGAAATAGTTGATTTACTATGAAGAATGGATAAAATGGTGGATCTTTCCCATGGTTTTTTGGGACTGTTTACCAGAGGGTAAGTCATCAAAAGATCCAGTCACCATGGATTTCAACATACGAATTGGTCGTCCATAGGCCGCCACAGTTTCGCCATGGCAGCTCCACTCACCGCTAGCAGCACCTGGTTTTTTCGCCGTCGGCCGTTGATTCTGTTGGTGATGGTAGCTTAATGATGCCCTCTGGCAAACTAACATAGACCCTGAACATAGACCAATTTTTGCGGAAGCTAATCTTCCAGCCCCTATCTGCCAGGGTCTATGTTAATTTACTGGAGGGTAATGATAATGATCATGATAATGATAATAATAATAATAACAATAATCATCGTAATAATCATCACCATCACCATCAAGAATAGTTTTTGGTGACACTTGCAAGTCACAAATCATGATAGATCCCTGGCAACAGATAGGAGTGCCTCTCCATCAGGCACCCGTAGTGTTGCAAAGGTTCACGCAGCCTGGTCACAAAATCAGAGATGTTCATGGCATCTGTAGAAATATGCGGAAATGCCTATCATCCCATTGTGAACTTCCATTTTCATCTGGCTCATCTGGCAAAATTTTCATATCTGTCATGCAATCAGTGCAGAATCCATCAGAATCAGTGCTGAGTCTCAGTGCTGTCAATCCAAGACGCATTGGAAAGTTCCTGTGGCTTCAGTTTCGTTGCCGCTCTCACCTCAACCAGTCAACTCAGCCGAGAAACATGGAGAAACACCACTGGATCAACAGCTCCTGGGCTGCCCAGCAACTTGTGAACCCAAGGATTTCATCAACTCCTCCCTCTGAAGCGCCAACCTCGTCCAGTTCCAGCGTTCGGAAAGAACTTCGACGTATTCAAAAAGGGACAAAAAGGAATGGTCTGAAAATAAGGTCCCATAGGTACCACCAAATTTTCATGGTTATATGATATAATCATTCATCAATTTTCTCAGTAAAACTGCCATTTTGAGGTATTCCCTAGCTTCAAACAAATCCACAACAGTGTCAAACATGTTTTCAACCCTGCACCTCGCAGCACTTGAGACCTTGACGCAGCCGCAGCCCACAATCTGTTGGCCACACCTTGTGGGGTCATACCTGGCAACAACTCACTTTCGATCAGCAAAATCCTTCAGCCCCCAGGTTGCGCTTCGTCTCGGGTGCTGTTGCCTCATCACCTGGCACGAGAAACTCTGCGCCATTGAGAACCAGTGGGGTTCCATCAATGAAAGTGCCACTGAAAGTGCCACCATATCCGCCATACTCTCAGCACCTCAACACACCGAAAAAAATACACAGCAGTGGCAACAAAACACACAAAACACCATGGCGCGCGCATTTTTTCACGCTCTTCTTACCTTGGTTTCTTTGCACCTTCACTGGGCGACACTTCTGCAGATGGCTATTGAAAAATGGCCTACTTTTCGACCTCAGTGAACCATCCAGCAAAATCACTGTGCTGTAAAATGTCAACCAGGACCCGGCCATACTTCAAGCGAATTGCACACATCTCCAAACCCCAAGTGAAGACAATAATTTTGAAAGAACTGCTGGAGTAATTAGAATCACTCAAATGCAAGAAACAAACGGGAGTGCACTTGCAGCATGTTCTCTTTAACTTGGTCGTGACAAACATTGCTTATTCCAATGTCTTACAACTGAAGGAACTAGTTTGCCAAAAAGCAAGCATTGACTACATGATATAACAGCTTTCCTGTTCAGATCATCGAATTCGGTGGTTCGTTCCCCAAAAAAAAACCCACGAAAATTCCCAGTCACCACGGAGGGGGCTGGGCTTGAGGCACTCGAGGCACTCGAGGCGCTCAGCTCCGGCAGCCGTCCACTCTGCAGGTCTGGGCTCTGGCTGTAGATGGTGAAGGCCACCAACAGCACCGGCAGCAGCACCACCGTTGCCGCGGCCAAAGAGGAGTCCGGGGACTGGAAAATGCTGGCGCCAAACATCAACTCACCTGGACGACCCAAAAAGGGATAGAAAAGTGGGAAGCCAAAAAAAATATGGTGAAATATGGTGAAATATGATGAAATATGGTGAAATATGGTGAAATATGGTGAAATATGATGAAATATGGTGAAATATGGTGAAATATGGTGAAATATGGTGAAATATGGTGAAATATGTATTGGAGATAGACTATAGATAATAAAATATAGTAAACCACATAGAAAAATCAATGATGTTGTTTTTTGGGTATGGCCCTACAGTAACCAATCAACAGGGGTAGTCTTCACGGTTTCCTTAGGGCCTAGGGTTTTGGATGGTTTTTATACAACAAATCACATGGAAAAATAGATGATGTTGCTGGTCATATGAGATCAGTATCACGGGTCAAATGTTGGAATATTTGGAAAAAGTTCGTCAAACTTGATCAAATATGATCATCATCCTAGGATGGACCTTTGAACGAAACATGAAGTCACAGCAGCTAGTGACCATATTTGGTGCCATAAGCAAAGACAATGGTCAACAAGATCACCTCCGCAAGTAAGAGCGGGCCCGAGGTCAGCTCCACCTGGGCGACTTTCTTCACATCGAAACTCTCCTCCTCCGCATCGGTCTGGGAATTCATGAGACGAGCCAGGGCGGGTCTGGGGTCCAATTCCGAGAGCGTCCAACCATTGGAGCTGGCAATGCGGTAGGTGGCTATGGCCAAGGTGCTATTGCCGATAAAGGTGCACACGGCTTGTCCTGTAAGGATCCAAGGAATCTGATTGTAAAAGATGTGGAAGGTCAGTGCAAAGACACTGGAGACGCTTGAAGGAAACATGCCCCAAGTGAGGCCCTTCCACTTGGGATTTCCCGTGGCATCTGCATAGGTCCAGGCCAGCGACATGGCGATCAAAAATTCAAAGACCGTGGACCAATGCACAATCCACGTTGGGATGGATAAGGCATTCACCGGTTCGGCTGGAAAGTCAAGGGCTCCCAGGCTTCCCAGGCCTCCCAGAAAGGGAGTATGGGCGCCAAAGCCCAAGGACACACCCACGGCCAAAGTGGCAATCACTGCCACCAGCCAAAAAGCCGAGAGGCCTCGAGCATTGGAGTTGTCAGCCAGTTCCTGGTTACCTGTAAGGGCACCACGGAAACCCAGCACGATCATGATGTTGGTGCAGGTCAGTAGGGACTCCGCACTGCCATGTAACCAGTCAGAATCGGCCAAGATCACACTGAAGGTGTTCTTGGAAATGATGCCCGCTGGGATCGTCAGCAACACAAAGACCAGCAAAAAGGCAAAGCCAAAGAAGACCAGCGGTGGCGTATTGTTCCTGGTTGGTGGTTTCAATCAACCCCTCTGAAAAATGATGGACTTCGTCAGTTGCAAGTTGGGAGTATTATTCCATATTATTCCCAATAAATGGGGAAAGTCATGAAAAATTCCATGGTTCCAAACCACCACCCAGCTTCTTCTTGTAGGACAAAAAGTAGAGGAAGATCAAATACGCCGGCAGCGACGCTTGAAACAGCACTCCATTGATGTTTCCGGCCTGATCTGAGAAGCTGGTGAGCAGCGAAGTCTCAGCCAGGCCTCATCCCCCAGGATCTGCAAAATTGCTGGGAGATTTAGTAGTTGAGGTGTGCCAAAAGATGGGGAATGAACGGAATGAACACAAAAGAACCTTTGGACAAATGATGTTCAAAGTGAACCCCCCGCCTGCCACATGTGCAAAATCAAGGCCCTCCAGTGCATGTCTTGCGGTGTTGGCAGTATCCACTGAGGCTTGGTTTCCCTGAAGCCTTTCTCCAAATAAAAAACGTCTCCTCAGCGATCTGAAACCAAGGACACTTGCACTGTTGCTGATCTTTGGAAAGAGAGTTTTTCCAACTCTTTCCAAGAGTTGTTACACCAAAAACGGAGAGTTGTTACACCAAAAACTTCCCAGACATTTCCCAACTGCAGCGGAGTCACTGGCTCGAAAGGCCGCAAAACGAAAGGCTAAGGTGTCCAAGAGCCAGTGCCAGCACGATGGCACCTGGCAGCCATGATCTGCCATGATCTGCCATGGAAACCCTGTGGAAACCCTTGGGGAAACCATGGGGAAACCCAAAACCCAAAAGGAGCATAGCATAGACGAGCCACTGGCCCGGAGAAGCCATGAGGATCGGCGCTTTCCCATCTTGTACGCTGAAGCCACAGTGGCAACACCGGCAAGTACTGCCAGTGGCACACAAATCGTCACCACCAAACAACCAAACTCCGACCTCACCCGGGACAAAACAAGGGGAAAGAACGGAACATCTTGGAACAACTTCGCAATTCTTTGGTAGTTTTAGCAGCTTTCTGCCTTTCAGACATTTTCAGACCAGGCGCAGCCGCCTTTTTTTGCACCCAAAAAACGTCTAGGCGCGATATCAAGGTCTGCTTTAAGCAGCCCTCAAGCACTGCAGAAACGCAGCCACTTGGTGTCGTCATGCTCGCTCCAGGTGAAAGAGCCACTCCTTAGAGGTGAAGATTGAAGCATATACTATCATATACTGTACTATGTATCATGTCTTAAGACATGGACATGATAGACATTAACAATTAGCATGTCTAGAATTAATCTATCTACCTATCTATTTGTCTACCTGCCTAGCTAGCTGTCTATGGATGTTATTAGATGTAAATACTGATATATATAGATAGATAGATAGATAGATAGATAGATATTATGTGCATGTGACAACCTGTTGGGATGTTCAGTGTGGGACAACACCACTCTAGAAGCAAATGACCCGGGCTTTTTCCCCTCCCTGATTCACAACAGCCCGGCCTACTCGCAAGCATCTTGCGGGCTTTGTCTTTGTCTTCCCTGCCGCAGAATACACAGCGGCCATTGGGGCGATCCCAAAATGTGAATGCCATTTTGGGATCACCAAATATTGGATTTTGGAACCTCCAAAATTTGGAACCTCCAAATATCCCAGAGAAATTTGATTATCATGATCTCTCCAATCAAAATGGCCAATTTTTTGGGGGTACCCTCCAGAAATTCGACGGCATCCAGTTGGCAAAAAGATGCTTAAAAAGATGCTGTACAATGTACAGGGCAAAAATGTGTCAGCCTACATACCACACTTTTAGGCCTTTGGAATATGATGGGACCTATTCCACAATAACCTGTGTTGTTATTGGTTGCTTCTGGTTGCTTACCTATCAAAATCATGTGAGCCGACAATGAGCTTTGTCCAGGCTAACTTCTGACATCTTCTGAATCAAAGCGATGACCGGCAATAGACGCGACTACAGAAACAAGTTGTGGAGAACCAGTTTGGTACCCTATCATGGGCATCTGAAAAAGATATTTCAACAAAAAGGATCTTGAGATGTTCCTTTAAAAATCATCTTTGATATCTTTGATATCACTTCTAGATTGATTTTGGTTATGTTATGATTTTGCTTATGGTTAACTTATGTTAACTTCAACCAAAATCTCCCAACTCGCCCAAGAAAACCTTCCCTGCTGGCCTCAAAGTCTCAGCGCGTTCCTTGGAGACCAGGCCGCAGGCGCGGGCGATGTTGACGGCGTTACCATCCAAGGTACCTGGACGTCCAAGATGTTGACCATTGGATGATAGGAAATCATAGGGCTGATATTTAGTGAAATAATAGTGAAATAATAGGGAACTAAAAATTTATGGATGATTTGGCACCAAAGTTGGAGACAAATTCCCATATGACATCATTATAAATAAATAAATGAATACATAAATAAATAAATAAATAAATAAATACAAATAAATATATATATATATGTCATTATGAGTTGCGAGAAGCTATGTGCCAAAATGTGGAGACTCAAAATGGGCTTGGGGTGTGGCAGCCTCGCTGGGTGTTTGGCAGCATGGTTTGGCGATGAGAATATGTCAAGCGAAGCGCAGGTTTATCCAAGCTTCGGCATTTGGCACTTAAGACAAAAAGAATTCTGCAGCGACCCTGCAGGAACTCAGAATTCAAAGCTAGGTGATTGAAAGATATTGAAAGACATTGACAGATATTGAAAAGGGTATGGGTCAATACCTATAGATACATTTTTAGTGGGATGAACATCCATTTACCGGCTATTTTGGGGTTCACTAGGTACCAGGGTTTTGACCCATCCCCAAAAATGTTGAAAGAGATTGAAAGTATGCTTTCCGCTGCCTTCGGTGGTGAGTCGTTCGACTCCTTGCAACCACAGATCTGCTTGTGCCTGTCGTTGCTCCACTGGATCTTGAATTGTGGAGATCTTATGGATCTGGATCCTACGGGAACCAGTCCTTTCGGGCTTTCGGGACAATGTGTGATACAGAATTTGAATGCGCAGGAAACCTCTGGGAAATACACGGCGTGAGTATTCACGCATATTCATGCCTTGTCTTCCGGCTGATAGATTTATGATGATTTATGAATGCAGGCTGATAGATATGATAGATAGACAAATAGCTTCCTGTCACCCATTGACACCTCTGAAACCTCACAAACCAGGGCAAAGCCCATCATCATCACCCACTGCCCATCACCATCACCCAAAATTCCCAGCCAAAATTCCCAGCCTGCTGCAGCTGTCTGCTGAGACTATGACTCTCGTGGATTTGCAACATCTTCAGTCTAATGGCCTCTGAGTGGATTCGCTGCTTGTCACCTGCAACGTGAGCAACGTGAATTTCAACACATGGCAGATGGTACTGCATGAAGCAAAAGAGACCTTTTTGTTGGCACATGCATCGCTTCAACAAGAATATCCTTTCCGAAGAATTTGATGAAATTTGATGCATTTTCCATATGCTCCATGTATGGTATATTTACCTACATTTGGATGATTTTTAGGGCAAATGTTGGTAAATATTCCATACATGGAGCATATGGGTTTGAATTAACTAAAATGTACCAAAACACAGAGCCATGTTGCCCGATTGTGAATACAGGACCTTCATGGACCTTCCAGGCCGCCCACCGGCTTCGCGCGCGTAAAACGCCAGGCGCCTGGTGGTTCCGGAACCGTGGCCCACAGGGCCGCACGGCCACCCACCGATCTCAGTGGCTCTTTGCTGCAGGAGACGAACATGTCGCACCTGCAGAGGACGAGGTTTCGGAGGTTTTTTTTGTGTTTTTCAGGGGTGCCATGGGGTGCCAGAATCTGTAGAGGCCATAACTTTTCGGACTTTTGTGGTTTGAGGATTTTGAAAAACCTGGGAAATGGGAAGAGTTACCCCCCAATCGACCAGAATCTGGTCAATCATTCACGAATTCCATGGCCTTCCGAGCACAGGCTTTGTCTGGTACATCAAGTTCATCTCCACTTCAATTGGCAACGGCCCAGCCTGGGAGCTGAGAGCAACCGTCGCTACTAGGGATCCTAGGGATCCTAGGGCCTGCTCTTCCATTGAAAAAATCAGACCATATGAATCCATATGAGTTTTTGTTAGTGGCTTACAACCCCAATTCCTAACATTTACTAACCACTTCCGGTTTTTTCCGGGGCTGTTCCCCCCAAAAAAAATCTCAAAAAATCCCCCATCCAGATCCCGTCACCTCCGTCGGATCGCAGGATTTCGCAGCACTCACCAGCTGCTCAAAGCACAGAGACAGAGGCATCTCACAGGAACCCAACAAGGTGCTGGAGAAGAAGAGGTTCTGCTGATACACGCTGAAGGTCAACATATCACAGCCTGGAACTCCCATTTAAGTCACTAAACTCTGCATGAAAAATGCTGAGTTCAATGCTGAAACATGTGCATCTCGGGGGGGGAAGAAAAAAACGGAAAATGAAAAGATGCACTTTTCCGAAAGGCACAAAAGCAGAAAGAAGCAGTTACAGTACATTCCCAGAAAAACGTCTTTGAAATTCTTTCCTGATCTTTGTGTCTTCATGGTTTTATGATGTTTTGTGTAAAAAATCCAGCCTTCCCATAGAATGTCCACTTGGTAGTGCATGTTGAAGTAGCATTTCTCATGGCCTTGACTTCCTTCCACGATGGGCTTTATCGCAGGGGTGTACAGAATCCCGCGGCCGACCTTGCTTCCTTTCTTCAGCGAGATAGCCTAAGACCGAGAGCTGCCCCAACACTGTTTGCTATGGAAAAATCACCATTTCTTGAAGATAATCGATGGACTTATCGGCCATGGCTTCGATAATTTCCATATTGTTAATCTATTGGATGTCTATTTTTTTGCTGAAAACGGTGAGATCTGTATATGAGTACATTGTCAATCATATGTGCTGATATAATATTATATAATCAGTACTCATTAGATCTCATTAGTATGATATACTTCATTGGTAGCAACAACTAAGAATATGTGTTTTGCTTAAAACAGGTACTGTACCATCTGGTTATTTAACATAGCTATGGAAAATCCATTGTAAATGGAGGTTTGAATGGGAAAATCATCTGTAAATGGGCAATGTTCCATAGCTATGTGAAATAACCAAAAAGGTATCTGCTTTTTTTTGGGTACAGAAGGACATCCACATCCCCACCCTTGACTTTCTCCGTGGTCACCAGATGTCACGTCCGACGTCCCAGAGGCAAAATGTAGGCCACGGAGGGACTTCAAAGCGCCTCCATCGAAGGTTAAGGAGTCGACCTGCCAGTCCAAGAACTACATCCCACATTACAAATGAAGAAAAATGATACAGCACTTGTGCCTTGTAGTGTGATATATATATATATATAACTAAAACTATATCTATATGTTTGAAATATTGTATGCACATTATCATGTTTGTTAGTTGATCTTATTAGAACTATTATTTATTATCAACAGTAACTATTACTTCTTTGACATGTGTATACACATTGACATATTATATATATAATTATACACGTTGTGGGCACCACCTTTGGTGCGACTGAGGTGGAAGCACTCAAAAATCTTCTCCGGCCTTGAGATTGAAGACGAAGACCTTGGTTTCTTCCAATCTTCGCGTCTCTTCACATGCCTTCGGCAATGTTCTCTCTGCGAAATCTCGAAAAATCTCGGGGGCGAAATCTCGCGTTTCTCAAATTTGAGGAACAACTGTGGAACACGTTGGTTTTTGTGGCTTCGCCCTTGGCCAACCTGGATCAATCTCATGGGATTCATCCCACCGAACCTTGTGCACAATCCTTTCCACAGCTGCTGCTGTTGCTGAACGTGCCATGGCTCCAGTGTGCTCCAGTCACGCCATCTGGGATGTTTCACGAGTGGAGCTTGTTATTTTCGTGACGTCATGAGCTGATTGGCCAAGCTGATTGGGTAAGTGGCCAAGGCCATTTGGCACCCACGAATCACGTCTGAATCACTAGCTGCTGGTTGAACTATGTGAAAGATCCCATGTCCGTTCTCATGTCCGACCCATGTCCGCTATTGCTGGCTCCAGATAGGGAAAAAATGGCCACGGCTGGCCCCACAATCCCATGGCTAGCACACAAGCTCACTACCACGAATCGAGTTTCAGAAGAAAATGGAAGAAGTATGAAACCCTCCAGAACATCCTGACACATCGACATAAGCCAACATTAATGCCGATTTTGGGGAGAAAATGGAAAAGTGTGGCCTCAAAATGCATTCATCCACATTCATCCCCATTGGCAGGACAAAAAATCAAGCAAAAAAGGGCAGCAACTTGACGGGAGGTGACCCTTCCCAGCAAATCCGCTGCTTTGCTTTCCACTTGGTCAGATCTCCAGCTCCGTCTTCCAATCTTTGATCTTGTCCTTAGATCACCCTGAAAACTAGACCACCATCCCTGCTGCCACACGAAATTCTCAGGGAAAAACAAAAAAATTGAGGACCGTACCAGAACGCGCCAGTGCTCTGGAACACTCAGGATGTTGTTGGCACAAATATGACCACTCATGACCACGGCTGGAACGCCAATACCTCAGAAGTCAAAGGAAGTCAAGGGAAGTCAAGGGCTGAAAGGGTTGGATGACCCAATCAATGGGTGAAATTAAAGAAAAATCTGGCAGGTCAAGGAAAACCCTGGTTTTTTTTCCTAGGACATGTTAATCATTGGATTGGTTTAAGGGAAAATCTACAGGAAACCATGGTTTTTACCATGAAATATAGGGCTTTCCTGTAAATTTTCCCATCATCCAATTCTATGAGTTAAGGCTTTTCTCCTCCATTTTGTTCATATCTTTCCCGGAAACCCCTTGAGTCTCGGTCCTGGGGCGGTACTGTCGCCACACATGTGGAAGCCTGGTGGCCAGCGACCAGGTCAGTGACAGATGGGATCATATATGGTCATTAACCATAAGAGTGGGACATATATAGTGGGATAATATCATATATCTTATTAATATTCTCCCATGATTCTCCCATGATATATTAACCATAAGAGTGGGAGAATAATGGGACACATAGTGGGAGAATAATGGGATACTGTAATCATGGGAGACACACACACACAGATACATATATATATATGTTAAACCAACTAATAGGATCATATTGGTTATCATAAAAATGGGAGAAGAATGGGATATATATAACATTATTCTAACTGAATATTCCATTATTATGATAACCAACAATATTATAATAATATTATTCTACCATTATCCCATTATTATAACATTATATAACCAACTGAATGGGATCATCTTGTTGGTCTGTCACATGGATGTCCCATTTCGGCACCTTCCAGTGGGGTCTTGTGTCCTGGTAGCATCTCAGGCGCTTTCACTCGAAGACCTCAGTCGCGGCGAGTCGTCGCGAAAAAAACAAACATTGCCGGAAAATTGACCATGTTAATTAGATATGTTGATATGTTTATATAAAAATAATATATCATATGTATAGATATGATATCCATAATTATATAGATAGAAAAAATTGATTGATATGAAGTTCCATGCATAATGTATCATATTTATATTGTGTAGTTAATCATTTATTTTTTTCATAGAAATGATGTTCATATGTCAACATATACACATGTATGGAGGGATTTCCCAGCCATGTTTGATTGCCGGAGATGGCACTTCGCTTCAAATTCTAAGGTCAAACATGGTCAAACCTATAAAAAGACGAGAAAACTCTTGGCTCCAAACTGTACTGAGACCCATATCTCTCCGAAAACAGGGTACCCGAAACATCTTGGAGTCTTGTCTTCCCCAGTGGCACGTCAATTTCGGAACATAGCCCTTTTCCGACAAAGCCACATGCCGCATCGAAGACAGATGATCGCATACCAGTTTTCCCACAGTTTCCCAGAGTTTTCCCCAAAGACGATGCCGATACCAGTTCATAATCCATAGATATCCAATGATATCAATAGATATTCATAGATATCCATAGGACATCATAGGACCATAGAAACATCCCAACTTTTCCCCAAGAATTCCGCTGAGGCCCCAGGCCGTAGCTCCCGGAGGGTTTTCGCAAGAAGCGACGGTGCGTCAAAGGCGTCCCCACCAGTTCGAGCACCACCCGGTCCTGTGGTGTACGGCGTTGCCGTAAATTTACGGCGGTTGGATGCCGGGCACATGCAAAACACCGAGAAAATATGAGAAAAGGTGAGAAAATATATCGAAAATATGTCTGAGACGAGCATCTTCGAGATCAGGCACCTGCTTGCTAACAGCTGCATACAAGAATTCTTTGGCTTCTTCCTTCTTCTTCTTGTATTCTTCACTCTTCCTGGGATCAAACATGATCAGATCCTTCAGCCTCTGGAATGACACAGTTTCACTTCGAGTCTTTCGAGACTTTGGCAAGATGCACCTGATTCTTGGACATAATGATGTGTCAAATGGTGAAACTGCCCAGTCAGATGCCCAGTCATCCAACAATATCGAAACAATACCCAAGACGCAAAGAGAGAAAAACTCAAGAAAAATCAGAATCCAATGTTTTTTTCAGTTTCCAAGCTAAATGGACCCAGTCTCTCATCTAAATGGGCCCAGTCTTCCCATGGTTCGGTCGCTGGAGTGTAGGCGTGGAGAGCATGGTATCCGGGAGGGGCCAAGTTAGGATCCAACCTGCTGGGGGGGAAGTCTCCGATTTGGAGCTTTCCCAGGTCATGGAGGGAGCCCCAATAATCATTAAAAAATTTGGATTTTCCATCATAAACCATCCATTGTTTGGGGGGAAACCCCCATTTTTTTACATATTCAAATATGAACATAATCTGTAACTAAATGGGGGTTGTCATGCATTGTCCATTCCCATGTTTGGTGCCTGGAGGGCCTGTCAAAAAAGATGGGAAATATGGGTGAAATGGGGACCCAATTGGACCCAAGTTCGTTTCATCTCTGAAAAACCTGGCATAATCGGTCCGATCTACATGTGACAAATCCAAGATCCAACAATTGATAGACCATCCCCAAATTTGCTGGAAATTGGTGGTTTCAATGTTTCAACCATTTTTTAAAGCTTTAGCCCTGGGTTTACGTTTCCCCATCCCCGAAATCGTCCAAGTGCAACTTGGATGACATGGAAGGGCAACTGACCAACACGGCATTGCGCGGAGCTTCCAAGTCGGACCAGTCATTGAAGACCCCCCACTGCGCCGGGAAGTCCGCGCAGTGGCTCTTCGGAAGGCCGTTGCCACGGAAACCCAAATGCAGATGGATGAAGGATTTCAGCAAGGGATAGTCCTTCCATTGACCAAAGAACTCCTCCAGCTCTGGAGCGTTCTTCATGAGTTTCTTGGTCACTTGCCAATCCGTATTGCCTCAGATCAAGATACACGTCGAATTCAGAATGATTAAACATATGATTACTGGTTGGTGGTTTTAAAAATATTAGTCAATGGGAAGGATTATCCCACATATTATGGCAAATAAAAGCCATGTTTGAAACCACCAACCAGATTAGAATATGATTAGAATATGTTTCCATGTCCTTTTTAGATTTCCTCAGGTTTTCACAGAACCTTCAGAAATCATCCGAGGCTAAGGTCTCCACTCACCACAGCTGTCGCCTGGATGACCTTTCCACTCTTCAAACGGACCCCACTGGCGCGGCCACCCTCCACAAGCACTTCCTCCACATGGGCCCGCAGGATCACTTTACAACCTGCAGATTGCTGGAGATTTTCCATGGAAAATCCATTGGAGCCATTGGCAGAATATGCAGGTTACTACCAACATAGCTATTGAAAATGACCATTTATAGTGGGTTTTCCGGTTTTCCCATTAAAAATGGTGATTTTCCATAACATACCCTCTGGTAATTTGTTACATAGCTACGGAAAATGGATAAAATGGACCATTTACAGATGATTTTCCCAATAAAACCTCCATTTATAATGGATTTTCCATAGCTATGTTAAATAACCAGATGGTACTACCAGTTACTACCATTTTAAGTCACATCCTATCGCCATGAATTTCAAGGGCCCAGTCACAGTCACCATCAAAGGCTGAGAGACTTAAGGGGGCCATGATGCTGAAGCGTGATGGTATCTACTGAAGCGCTTGGAAACCCTTTGGATTGGCCAATGATGGAAAGATACAGGCCATACAACTGGCTCATGGTTAATTACACAGTTAATCATACAGTTGTAGCATGAAAATACTATGAACATCTGGCTTTGTATCTGTGGTTATCTGTGGTACCTTGAAAATCTGCGAAAAAAAAATCTCCAGCGCCTTTCCCGCCTGGATGTTTCTCAATACCTCGCACCAAAGCATCTACCAAGGCTTCGTTGCCTCCTTTGGGGAAGTCCAGGCAGGTGTTCTTCTTGTAGAGATCTCCCATCATGTAAGCCTCATTCAAAAATCATCAAAAATCATGCACCTCCAAAGTCTTCATGCACCAAAATCCAGCAAGATTGAATCTCAGTCATGTCTTGGGATGTCTACTATGGCAGCCTAAAATACCCAAAGAATTTCTACTCTGGCAGCTGAGGCAAGGACCATCATGGACGTGGGCGCTCCATATGATGGCAAGCCTTGCAGCAAGAATGCGAACATGTCCATCCAATTCTTGATGAAGGGATCCGTCACCTGAGGCATCAAAAACAGTCATGCACACAGTACTGAAAGTTAAATGATACAACATGCAGTGTCATCCTGACATCTTCCAGAGTTGTTGTCCAGTTGTATCATTGTAGAAAACCAGTTAAATGATACACATGTAGTGTATCCAGTTCTCATCTTCTCCATTCAGAAACGCCCTTATGTTGGCACGCCCAATTCGTGGCCCACTGAGGTGTTCACCCCCGCATCCTCCAGGAATTGGCTGAAAGGTTCGGAGAGTTTCTGCGGACCTCCGGGGATGGCCTTCAGCTTGGGCAAATATCTGGCCAAGGTGATGGCAGCACCCAGATCTTCCCTCACAAAGGATGGGGGTGGACCGTTGCAAATCGCATCGGCCATTGGAACCTCAGATGATGCAGATTTTATGCAGATTTTTGTTGATCATGATCTCGAGCATATGATGTATGACGTTGTATGACGTTGTATGACGTTGTATGACGTTGTATGATGTTGTATCTGGTTGGTGGTATACCTACTCCTCTGAAAAATATGACTTCGTCAGTTGGGGTTATTATTCCCAATATATGGGAAAAAAAACATGTTCCAAACCACCAACCAGGTATGATTCGGTATGATGTTCTGGGGTCAGCACGATATTCTTCATCAGACGCTTCCACTGCTCTTGGGCATCAGGACCACCAAATCGTGGGAGCAATTTGGTCACAAATTCTTCGTAGCCAATGGCTGCATTCGCTTCGCCCTCTGGGATGAAGGCATTCCACCTCCAGAGTGGCACCCATGAATTTTTGATGGCTATATTTATGTCACTCAAATTGAAGTACTATCCAAAAGTTTTTGCAACAAAAAATGCAGAAAAAAAATTGAAGATCAGTGGATGGGATGTTCATTGGAGCGGTTTTTGGAACTTTGATAGCTCTTTTTTGGCATTTGACCCAGCTTAGAGCCTAAGCTGGGCTCTCAGAGTGGTGTGGTTTGCACATCATCCCCTGCCTTTATTTTGGGGTGCCCCGTGTATCAACTGTGTTGTGTGTTTGTGATTCTTTGTGTTGGGATTCCTGGGATCCAACAATGTACCTTGCCAGCTGGCGCGAATATCTCAAAGGAGCTCAAATTTAAAAAATGTATATAAGTTTACGAAATGGGGTCCGAACATAATTCAAAAAAACGGACTTTTTTTTTTGAATTGGTGATCCAAAAGTCCGAAATATTGTTGGTTCAAACCCCAAAACACCTCAGACTTCATAAATGGCTGTTCATTTTGCTTGTGATAAGGTGCTGGGAAGGAGGACCGGTAACTTCCCTAGCAAATCTCAAGTGAACAAAACAACGTGCTTTGCCGCGAACATTTTTTTTGTAGAAACGTCCTGATTTTGCTGGCATTGGCCCATACCCCAAATTCCCTTTTTTGCGTACTTTCCTGTGCAAAAAATTGAGGTATCAATGGGGGAACCAGGGAAAGAATCACACAGATATGAGTTGGTTTTGATGCAAATTAGGTCCTGCATGGTCCTGTCATGTCCTGCCTGTCATACTGAATCCACTCAGGTTCTTCTCCAAGGATCTGGTAGACATGTTTCAAGGGTGACGAGGTGCGTTCTCCGCTCAAGCCTCCATACAACGACGGTCCGGAGTCAAAGCAGAAGTCGCCCTCCACGCCCTTGGCGCGTGCGCGGAAGGTATGGGCCGCGCCGCCCGGGTGATAGTGGGACTCTAGGACAGTGACCTGTTTCCCCGCCGCCGCCAACACACCCGCGCAGGTGAGACCAGCTAAACCGCTACCAATGACCACCACCTCTGACTCGGAAGGGGGTTCTGCACACAGCGCAAGGCCACGGCGCCTTTTGCCTGAAATGTCAAGTAGATTCAGGAAAATCAAGGCAAAAGACACCTGGAACTAGCAAGTTGAATCATTGAAAACTAGAGTTGAACATGAGTTGAACAAATGATTTCAAAGCTTAAGAATCATCCAAAAAAAACATCCAGAAACATCCAAAAAATACACCAGGACATCTGAAATCATCTGAAATTTCTCAATTTTTGGTCCACCTGCGCGTCCAGATCTTCGAGCTGCCGCGGTCGCGACGGTCGCTAGACCCAAGGCTAGGCCGCGACCGCTCGGCGCCGCGCCGCGTCTGTGCGCCCGCTGCGCCCGCTGCGCGCGTCGTGCCATGCCACAGCCATGGTGGGGGCAGCCAGGGCGAGATGGCACGAAAGCAAGGGCCATGGCGGCCATGGCCGGAAAAATCTGAAAGTTTGGTGTTGCTTGATTTATCTTGATTTATCTTGATCTATCTTGATTTATCTTGCTTTTCTGGTGTGTTTGAAGATGTCCTGTCACTGTTCTTTGTTTGGCAAGTGAAGTTGCATCTGAACCTCCACTTTGATGTATTGCATCGTGTTGCATCTATAAACGCGTTCAGCCTTTGAGTGTTCCGTGCATCAATCAGTGCATCAAGTCAAAGTGCTGTCAAATGCCCTGCCATCCGATGCCCATCAAAACATGCTGGACCCACCGGGCCGCCCAACAGGCACACCTGCGAGATCACAACAAGTCAGATATGATAAACATGACTGACATGACCTGGTGATTTGCTTCCAATGGCTGTGCAGCTTTCATGATCTTTCATGCTTTCGATGCTTTTGAGCAGCCCATTCCGCATCTTTTTACTCTCGGAGAGGACTGTGTCTGTGCAGAATCCGCACGGGCCCTTAGGGCGCCCGGTGAGCCATGTCAAAGCAATGAGCCAACCGGGACCTGTACGATTCTGTACACCTTCATTGGCTTGGTTGAAGGGAAAATCTGTACCGGAAACCATGTTTTTTTACCATGAAATATGGGGGTTTCCGGTTTCAATGTTCCCTTAGACCAATCCAATGACATCTGAATCTGACGATACGTCATCATATGTCTATGTCTTACATGACTTATATTAGCGAGCTGGCCTTCATCGGGCAACGTGACAGCCCACTCTACAAAATGGATTGCAAAAGAACATGCATTGGGAGTTCACACTTTGGTTTTCGAGTTTTGCCCTAGATGCCTTTGGCGTAGGAAGTTCTAATGTGTTCCCAAGTTCCAGTTCCATTTCTTGTAATTCGGCTCGTGCTTCTTCCGAGAAAACCCGTCGATTCTCCTCCGGCCTCTTTTTGGGATTCCACAGCCGACCACGCGCGGCTTCAGGGGACAGCAGGCGATGAAGATTCGGAGTGGCCTTCTCCTCGTTGCTTCCTGGGGTTCCAGCCGTGAAAGGTCCTGCTCCGGCGTTGGTGAAAACGATACCCACTGTCCTATTCTGTCCCAGTGTCCCACTGTATGTCCCTGTCCATGTGATATTTTTCATGTAGAATATGAAAAATCTTGAAATTTCATGTGCATATGAAGTCCGAAAAGGTTCAGGTGATTCATAGGGCTAAAGGCCACAGTAGGTTTCGAAGTGTAGAACCCAATCATGACCCAGAGAACTCAACCGGGCCTGGTGGCAGTGGAAAAGGGAAAAAGTTTGTTTCCAACTCTCTCGTACCACCCAGGTCACTTTCCAGCTGGTTCAAAGCAAAATCACCCTGGAGCTCCGAGAGATCGCCTGAAATTCAGGCGATGTGGGAAGCCCCAGAAATGTCAGAATTCTCCCCAAAAAAACATCCAGGACATGGTAAACATGTGTTAAAACATGTATAAATGGTTTAAAACTTAAAATGAAAGAGAGAACTTCAGTTGAACTCTATGAACTTCAAGTCACTCACAAATCTCATCTTCTGGCGTTGTTTCTCGGTCATAGCGGCTTGCACCACACTGACCCCTGCACGGACGATGAAGGGCAAGTTGCAGACATAGAAACAAAAGACGCGGCCGGCATCTTGCTTCACTAAGACGTCCTTCAACTCCAGCACTGCTGCGACAGGAGGCAGCTGACTATAGGAGAGGTCCTTCAAATCCACAATGACCACGATATTCTCCACCTTGCCTGGTATCATCATGTACCGGAGGAAATATTCCATGCAGAAGACGAACAAACGGCCGAACTGATCGCAGGCCATGCCCGGTGGACAGCGACTAGGTCGCATGACCAGGGCTGGGCGCAAGCCAGCATCGCGGCCACAGAAGTAGAGGAATCCCTTCTTCAAGTCGTCTAGCCTCGGGATTTTTCTTTGAAAACGTAGCCCCAATTCCAATGGAGTACCCTCTGGTAAACTAACATAGCTATTGGAAATCACCATTTTTAATGGGAAAATTCACTATAAATGGCCATTTTCAATAGCTACGTTAAATTACCAGAGGGTATCATGGATGATCATGGCTTTGCATGGGTTATCATGGACTATCAAAAATGATTCACCACATTACAATGACATACCGACATACCCCCAAAAAAAGTGCAGAAATCCGGGATTAATCCATAAGGGTTGGCGAGGAACCCAAGGGATCCCAAGGGCATGATGCAACCATCATGGCAAATGTCGGGAACAATCTGTTCATGCTACGAGTACAACCAGAGATTTGCCAAGGAGTAACTAGTCATGATCATGAGAGATTGTCCGGCGTTGCAAGGTTTATAGCTGCAGACTCTACCTTCAAACACCCATGAAGTCGAACATAGGTGGTGGGCGCCCGGCAGCGAAAGGCTCACTTTGGGAATCAATTCGAGCTCACTTAGGACATATTTTTGTTGAGGTTCACTTTGGGCATGAATGGGATCACTTTGGGCACAAATGGGTTTCTTTAGGGTTTCTTTTACGATTTCTTAAGGCTTTGCTTAGGGTTTCTTTTTCGGCTTCTAGGGGTTCTTTAGGGTTTCTTTTACGGATTCTTTAGGGTTTCTTTTGCGGTTTCTTGAGGGTTTCTTTTGCGGTTTCTTGAGGGTTTCTTTAAAGGTTTCTTTGAAGGTTTCTTCGGGGGGTTCTTTAGGGTTTCTTTTCGGTTTCTTTATGGTTTCTTTTTCGGTTTCTTTAGGGGTTCTTTAAGGTTTCTTTTAGGGTTTCTTTGGGCTGAGCCATTGCACTGCAAACGAATGTCCAATTTATGCGCAAAGCGAGACCAAATTAACGCCCGAAGCGAGGCCGAACTTTATGCCTGAAGCAAACCCCCACCCGCACCCGGCCAAGTGTGGCATATAAAAAACTCTTCACGAAGCGTCCTCTGTAAGGTTGTTTGAATTGAAGAAGGTGAGATTTTGACAGCTGAGATTTTGTCTGAGTGGCATCTCGAAATCATGGAGAGGCTTTTGAAAATAGTTCAGGCGCCAGGCTTGGTTCTCTTGCATTTTCTGAAGAGCTCCTTGTAGGTCGCCAACATCATTCAAGTATCGGACGGCGGCCACGGTGATGGAAGGCAAAAAGGCCAGACCTTGTCTGGCAGCTTCTTCTCGACATTTCTGCAACATAGACAGTTCGTTCTTTGACAGCTCTATGTTACAAGAAATCATCCGTTCGGACTCTCCATTCTGGAAGTTCAAGACCACCTCCGATGGCTTTGGAACATAACTCAAACATTCCTCTGGCAAAGAGAATGCTGCGAAATTGCCTTCCTGCACCTCAATTGTGGTGGGCTCAGGCAAGGTTTCGAAGTGTGCCAGAAAGTCTCCAAAGTCTCCAAAGTCCTGGATGTTTGCATCATTCCCTCGAGCTGCCTGCTGGATATTGGAGAGAGCTGCATCAGCATCTGCTTCGTTTGTTTCGTCCAACAGTGCTTTTCGGTCAGACCTCGACTTCTTCGGCCCGAGCTTCGTCTGAACCAAACCACAGCAGCAGCCGTCCTTCCAAGTGGCCTTCCACTTGGAAATCGGCAAACATGACAGCGGCATGGATGGAAAATTGAGCCCCTCAAACAGCTAGATCAGCTAGGCACAGTGACACGCAGTGACACGCAGTGACACGCAGTGACACGCAGTGACGGTGACAGAGTTTTAGTCCGCAAAGTTCTCAAAAAACTTCCCAAGACCAACATTTCTCCATGCTCTTCCGAATTGACATCCCGCCTCATAGCCGGTGAAGGTCGGCGTGTGGCAACCCGGTTGTTTTGGAAATGACGTGTGAACAACGAAACATCTCCGATTTCATAACGCCATGAGACTGGAATCCGCGACACCGCAGCACCGCCTTTTTGCTAGGTTTTCATCACTCATTTGGATAGTGAAATTACTATGACTATAGTGATATTACTATAGTGATACCCTCTGGTAAACTAACATAGCTATGGAAAATCACCATTTTTAATGGGAAAATCCACTATTAATGGCCATTTTCAATAGCTATGTTAAATTACTATAGTGATATTACTATAGTGAAATCTGATCCGAAAATCCAATGAATTCCATGAATCCAATGTCTCAAACAGCTGAGAACAGAAACAAACTGTGCCGGCAGGGCCACGCACATTGCAGGCATGGGCCATCATCACTTCCAGGACGTCTGGCTGGCGATCCACCTGCCAAAGCTTCACCTTTCATATGGCTGAATCATCGTGGATCAAACATGGATCCATCATGATTTTCCATGTTATCACTAGTAATATCACTAATATCACTACAGTAAATATCACTATTTAGTAGTAGTCACTAGTAATATCACCATAGTAATAATATGTAATAATCACTGGTAATATCGGTGAGTCTCTACATTGATCCATGAACTCACCATGATCTTCACCTAAATCTTCACTGACAAAAAGCCTGAAGTGTAGCGAAGCTCCAGAAGCTGTTGGCCAAATCCTGCGTCTGGTTGCTAAACAGTTTGGTTTCAAGCCTCAACGCATCATGGAAACAGATGGAAACAGATGGATACAGATGGAAACAGCTCCTGCGCATTGAAGCTCCTGATCTTTTTCAGGCATTCCTAGCCAAGAAATGGACTTTGGCTGCGCGTTTCGCCACCAAAGATTCCAAAGGTTCCAGAGATATTGCATGGATCCATGGATCCATGGATCCATGGATGGTCCATCCCTGTCCTCTTGGATGGCATCCATCAAGGGAACACCTCAGCATGGCCAGCTACCCATCCTCAGGTCATGACATGGTGATATCTGATACCTTTTTTCCACTCCTCGCTCCTCAGCAGCTGCTTTTTTTCCCTAGCGATCCATCCTGCCTCCTCTTGGAAAACTGCACAGAAATGTTGGCTAAGACCAAATTCATGATCTTCATTATCATCAATGTCTTTCTTATCTTCATAATTCATCTTCATGATGTTCGTGAAATTGTCACATGAAACATGTAGAACCCGAGAATTGCAAGACCGAAACCAGGAGAGGAGACAGCGCATGCCGATTGTTTGAGCAGAACTGGCCGCGCCAACTCTCACTTGAGCTCCACGTGCAGGGTGTGGCGTCCCAGGTACTTGTTGAACTTCCGCAGCTTGAGCAGTTCGGGCGTGTTGCGCACGTTCTTCTCGGTGTAGTAGCGGCTCACACCACCACGAGGACCACCTGCTCCGGGAACACCATCTCGCACCATTTGTCTCTGCTCAGAGCACTCCAAGACCACCAATTTCCGGCCCTTCTTCGTTGGCTTCCGGTGGGCTGCCATCGACACGACGCTGTCCCGGCGGGCCTCACGTCAGATCACTTCAGATCACTTCAGTCAACGTCCAACCAATATGAATCTTGATCTGCGTTGATCCGTGCTTGTTTCTCTCTGTGTGTATGTGCCGGCTATCGTTTTTGTTGACTTCCGCACCTGGCACATGCATATGGCAATGTGACATGTGCATACATGTGCTATATCACTATATCGTACGTTCACCGAACATGTGATGTGACCAGTGTGATTATACAAAGCCACGCTATGTTCTGACTCTGAGTTGGGCTGAGTTGACGACAGAGGATGTCAATCGCATAGCCACCATGCCCACTGCGACGCATGTGGCCCAGGCAACCCCTGAAGTGCCGCGGGACTGCTCTTGTTGAGCTTCAAAGCTGTGCGCGCGCAACGCCACCTTGGAGACACGAGAATCAAGAATTGACTCGCGGCTCTGCGCGTGTGATGCTTGCGTGTGATTCTTGCGTGGCAGTACGGCAGGTGTTTAAAACGAATCAATCTCTGTATCCAACACACTGCACCTTCAGCCTCCCACAGGTGAGAACATCCGGAAGTTCCAAAATGTGAAATCCTTAGGCCGCTGCGCGCTCCTTTGCCAGGCTTCCTGTCAGCCCAGGGCTCACAAAGGCCTTGGCCACCTCTCATCGCGATTCCACGAGGCAGTGAGGCAACACGTTGTCACCATGATTCATCATCATCTCCAACCCATTTTCAAACACACCCAATGTGACAACACTTGTGGAAACAATCATTGGTTACTGATCTTTTCTCATTAAAACTGCCATTTTGGGGATCATCTTCCCATATGTTTCCGATAAAACAGCCCATTTTGGGCAGCAAGGACAGGAAATCACAACATCAGAAAGCTTTCGCCTGCAGCAAGCACAGGATGCCAAGCGCCAAGCGCATGGCCTGTGTCGAGAACAAAAGAAAAGATTGGAAAATACCATGTCATGGGTATGTATAGAATGATTCTTACACATTTTGTTGGGTGAAAATCATCCACAGTAGTGCAACATAGTGCAACTACACACAGAAATGACATCCTTTAGGACCCCCCTTTTGTATCTGAGCTTCCGAGCTCCTTTTGGCCTTGCCCAATGGGCCAGCGCGAAAGCCCTTGAGCCATGATGCAACGTGATGCAACGCCAACGCGGCAGATGCGAATGGCTGGTGGCTCGAGGTTGACTGAGATTCATCCCAATCAGAATCTTCAGCTCCAAGATCTACAAGATCTACAAGATCTCCAGGACAAGCTCTTGAAAGTGCTTTTGCAGTGTGCTAATTTGGCCTGTTTGGCCTCTTTGGCCTGTTTGGCTTGCCCGGCTTGTTCGACTAAACTGACTAAACATCATTCCATGTTGAAAGAATTTCTCACACTCGAGCAGCTAAACTCAGCACAGGAGAGCTCACTTTTTTCAGTTTTGCTTCGGCTGAGTTGACGGACCGATTGCACACTGCAGTCAGGAGAAACAAACATGGTGACATGGTGATGATGGGTGATGGCAGAAGAGCTCAATCACTTAGTGAATCCGCAAAACAATTACTAGGACACAGCTGCCATGTGCATCGGGTAACCCTGGGCCAACTCTCACTTGAGCTCCACGTGCAGGGTGTGGCGTCCCAGGTACTTGTTGAACTTCCGCAGCTTGAGCAGTTCGGGCGTGTTGCGCACGTTCTTCTCGGTGTAGTAGCGGCTCACACCACCACGAGGACCACCTGCTCCGGGAACACCATCTCGCACCATTTGTCTCTGCTCAGAGCACTCCAAGACCACCAATTTCCGGCCCTTCTTCGTTGGCTTCCGGTGGGCTGCCATCGACACGACGCTGTCCCGGCGGGCCTCACGTCAGATCACTTCAGATCACTTCAGTCAACGTCCAACCAATATGAATCTTGATCTGCGTTGATCCGTGCTTGTTTCTCTCTGTGTGTATGTGCCGGCTATCGTTTTTGTTGACTTCCGCACCTGGCACATGCATATGGCAATGTGACATGTGCATACATGTGCTATATCACTATATCGTACGTTCACCGAACATGTGATGTGACCAGTGTGATTATACAAAGCCACGCTATGTTCTGACTCTGAGTTGGGCTGAGTTGACGACAGAGGATGTCAATCGCATAGCCACCATGCCCACTGCGACGCATGTGGCCCAGGCAACCCCTGAAGTGCCGCGGAACTGCTCTTGTTGAGCTTCAAAGCTGTGCGCGCGCAACGCCACCTTGGAGACACGAGAATCAAGAATTGACTCGCGGCTCTGCGCGTGTGATGCTTGCGTGTGATTCTTGCGTGGCAGTACGGCAGGTGTTTAAAACGAATCAATCTCTGTATCCAAATGTATCCAATATACTGCACCTTCAGCCTTCCATGGTTAGAACATCCCGAAGTTCCAAAATGTGAAATCCTTAGGCCGCTGCGCGCTCCTTTGCCAGGCTTCCTGTCAGCCCAGGGCTGACAAAGGCCGTGGCCACCTCTGCCAGTGCTGAAATCAGCTTCAGGTCAGGGAATAGATGTTGGGCATGGGTCAAAAATTGGTCAAAATTGTCGATTGTTGGACCTCAATAGGATTTGATATGTTTTGAAATTTAGTGATTACTTGAACCACCACTTCTTGTAGGTCCGTTGAAAAATTTTGCCGCACCAGCTCCGATTGTGCCTGGACCAAAGCTGCAACAAGCACGATGCTGCGCATGGCTGCCCTCCTGGGCAGGAGAAGGATATGTGATCCCAAAGTTCAACAAGCCTCTGGTAAACTAACATAGCTATAGAAAATGACCCATTTATAAATCATTTATAGTTGATGTACCCATTAAACATAGTGATTTTCCATAGCAAACTGTTAGTTTGCCAGAGGGAAAGTCGGAAAATGGGTGGATTTGGGGTGAGTTCCGATGACCCACCCTTCAGATCCTTCAGGATTTTTCCTAATCAGCCAAATAAAAAATGCCCAGAAAATGTGGTAAACCCTACACCCAAAACCATTCCCGAATAGTCCTTGATTTCGGACAGCCCTGGATCCGTCTGAGCCAAAGTTGCGGCAAAAATTTCCCGAAACAACTATGCCAACACGCTGATACGTACAATACGATGTTTTAATTCTGAGATGGTCTGTTTTTCATGACACTGAAATATTCATCTCCATCATTCATCAATAGTCATCAGTAATGTCAATGGATTAATAAACCCCTAGATTGTTTAATTGGGGGGATACCATTTAAGTATCAGATTATGACTTTTGGATACTATTGGGGGAATATACCCCCCTAATTAATAAACCATGGTTTATTAATCCGGGGTTGACATTAGATCCCATTGATTCCCCAACATACAGCTGGTTTTTCCCAAGCTCGGCACTGTAAACCTTCAGCGTGGCAAAAGCCCAAGAGGCGTTGCAAAGGAACCGAGCATTGAACCTCAGGACATCCAAAGACCGGAACCGAAAGTCACTGGAAGGGAAAAACACTTTTTTGTTCAATTTCTTCCAGATGATTAAACTGGATTAGATATGTAGAATTAGTTAAAACTGGATTAGATATCTAGATCATTCTAGATCATCCATGCCCAGTTTTTAGGATGACTGCGATGCAGTGATAATCTGTTGTATGGCTGTGATGAAGAACTCCCAGGTCCCACCGTTCCACCTTCTCAGCCGCATCTGGAGTGATCCAGAAATGGCGTTCATCAGCGGCACGTCTCTGAGCTTTGACTTTGCAAAGCCTCAAACCTGCAAATCCAATGCGCCCATAAGCGGCAAGAAAAACAGCAGTTAATCCATGTAAATCCTAGTCATTGTAGTAGTAACCTCACTTAAAATATCTCAGTTATGGTAGTTATGGTAGTTATGGTAGTTGTGGTAGTTGTAACCTCACTTCAAAATTTCCTATCAATGTGTACATCTTATGGATACCACAGCAAACCCAGCGGCACCGTGTTGACAATGCCCTGATCCTCAAAGTCGTCCATGTGGGCGATCACAAACTGAGCACCTGAATTCAGTGAAGGACTCAATCTGTCTCCATGTGACAGCCATCAAATAGCCATCAAACAGCCATTAAACAAAAAAAACATCATGAGATAACATAAGATATCATGAAAATATCATAAAAGAATTAAAAGATCATAAAAGCATCATACACCAGCATCATGAAAAAACCCATAGCATACCATAGCCATCTCCAAAAAAATGAGCACCGCGCTGGCGTGGAGCAGCGGCTGATTTGCATGAAGGACTTTGCCCAGAGATCACACCAAGTTCGAAATGCCCTGGGGCCTTAGCATCCAACAAACCATCACTGGCCATCTCAGGAACCAATTGATTGGAGGTACACAAAATTCCAGTAAATCCAGTGAATGCGGGGATTGTACCAGAAGTAATATTCACGTGTATTCAAGATGCAGTAGTCAACAGATGTAACAATGGCCAGTGACACTAAGCAACGACACCTGTTTTAGCGGGCACCTTGAGCCAAACGTTGTTGGCCAAGTAAATGGTTTGATGACCAAAACCCCGGATTACAGGATTAAGGAAATGAGTTATCATTGTCGATAACTATTTGAATAGTTTATTCCCGTTGTAAAAACCCTGACATTATGTACACTTTACAGTCAAAGGCAACAACAATATAGTGGGCTCCGTTTTGGGACCACTATGTGGTATGAACATGCATACACGGCATAGGGGTTATTCGAGTATTTTCTACTCCCCCCTCTCGATTGACTCCGGCCAGTGGTACGTTCGGCACCGACCTAGTCCTCTGGAGCTTTCTGGTATGGAAGAATGCGTGGAGCCTTCTTCTTGTACTTCTTTCTCACATTGGCCTTGGGTTTCGGAGCATCCTGAGTAGGCACAGGTTTTGACTTGTCCTCAGCATAGGAAGGCTGCAGAGACTCATCAAAATTCTCCTGGATCTTCAAACCAGTGTTCGTGGTCCGAGTGACCACATATCCATTGATTATTCCCAGAAGGTCCAACGCGGGTCCCCACAGTTCACCTGCCAATCCCTTAGTGAAGATATCGGCTTTCTGGTAGCGACTGGCAACTAGTTGCAAGTCCACATCGTCCTTGTCCAGTTCCTGTTTGAGGCTACCTAAGTTTATACGATGTGTTCTCTTCATATGTCGCAAACGCTTGGAATAGCCAGCAGAAACCACCTTTGCTGTGGCTTCGTTATCTTCTCTGATTAACAAGCGCACTGACTTTCTGAATAATACTGAAAACAGCTCTAGCAACGGCAGACCTTCATCAAATAAAGTAGTAGCCATCGCTGCAGCCTCAGCTTCAGTTGTCGATCTGGAGACCGCACCTTGCTTTTTGGACATCCAGGTCAGTGGAAAACTCTTTCCACTTAGCTGTACCCACCCACCAGTTGTGGAATATGTGTGCTCGTCATCACCACAAAAGTCTGCATCGCAGAACAGCTCAACATAGATGTCATTCAAATCATCATCTACATGGCCAGTGAGTAAGTGGTCTTTTGTTTCATTCAAATAACTAATCGCCCTGAAAAGATGGTTGTCACACTCCGTGGTCCACTGTTGCACCTTAGTAGCTAACCAAGTGGTTACTCTCAGCATATCAGGCCGCGACAATCGCGCCAACCACATCAGTTTCATAAGGACCGAGCTGGCTGAACCTGCAAGTTCGCCCTTAGTCGGAGCCTCCTCAAGCACAGTGGTCTTTGAGAGAAATGGTGTGCTAACTCTCTTCAGTTTTGCGTGACCTATCAGTCGAACATAGTCATTGACAATGCTCTCAGCATAGGCTCGCATGTCGAATGCGAATAGTTCTTGATTTCTGAACTCCACTGTTGAATGATGTCTCCCCAAGAACCTACCTAGGTCACCGATGTCATCCAACATGATTCTTTTAGAAAGGTCTGCCCAAAAGGAATCGTGGTATGAACTGTCCCCGCTCAAAACGAAGTCATCCACATAAACAACCAAAGCCAAATGCCCGTAGGAAGGAAACACATATGTGCTTGGGAATTCTGGAATCTTCGTGGCTCCCATGTTTACCAACTCTTGCTCCAGCTTCCTTTCCCAATGTGCTCCAGCTTCTGGATGCCCATACAAGCTGCGAAGCAGCCTGATGACTGGCCTCCGGTACAAAGGCTTTCCATTTGAGTCAAACCAAGTTTCCGGCCAAACTTCTCTGGGCAACCTGACCCAAGTTTCGGCCAATGAGTTCAAAACGCTCTGAAGGTACGCCTTGATGGCGTCTGCTGATGAAATCTTG